ACTCCCAGCTAGCTGTGTTTGCGTAGAGACGTCAGCTTTTGCAATACAGCCTCCGCGGTAAAAGTGATGTGGGTTAGTCCTGGCGAGGAGACGACAAAGCTTAGAAGATCGCTTGGTGGCAAGACCCTGAAACGTGGGGGCATATTGCATCCGCAGCGCGTTTGCTGCTTCCACAGCTGTTCTTGTTGGGCCATCAGCCGTCCTGAGTGGAGGAAATCCTTGCCTCACCTTTCGTAGGCTATTGACGTGCTTGTACAGCAGTTTGTGGTTAGCACTGAAGGTTTTTGCGATGTTGTGCTGATAGGCGGCTTTGTCTTCTTAGCATTTGTGTGCAGTGGTTACGTTGGGCTACGTAGTTGTTCCAAGTTTCTGGTGCTGGAGCTTCTCTGTACACTCGCTATGCTGCGTTGCGTACTGTCATCCATTTTCGAGTTCTGCTCCTAACGAAAGAAACTGATGTACACTTACTGCAAACTTGTATCCCTGAAGCCATCGCAATCAGCTGACTAAATTTGTTAACGAACTCGAGCCAGGCGACTTCCGGGGGTTCTTCTTCGAGAAACGACCAAGTTGTGGCGCTGACGAGCTGGGCTAATCGATCGTAGCTTGTGATGGTTCGCCCAGTCTCACCGTTCTCATGCCGATATTCTGTATAGTAGACGAGGTTGAATCAGATCACTGCGTGATCATTGTGACCCAATGGACAGTCTAAAACCAACACATCAATCATATGCTCCTCGTTGGTAAGCACAAGATCCAGCACAGATGGCCTGTTACCTGTTCCGAACCGAGTGAGCAAAGTGATGTGATTGTAGAGAGAACAGTAATTAAGAGATCTTGTAGATCGGTTTTGAATTGTTCTCCGATCGTGGCAGGAGTTTCTACACATTGTACGTTGAAATCACCCATGATAAGGATGTGAGTGTATCTTCCTTTTATGATGCGTTTTAAAGCTGCCGCTAGGTGGCAGTCGGTTTTTTGTGTCGAGTTAGGGAGCGGTACACCAAGACAGTAAGGCAAGCGTCTCTGCCTTTTAACTGCAAGCGGCAACAAAGAGTCGGGGAACTGCGAGTCTGAATCTGCCACGGCTTTGCACTGCAAGTCGCTTCGTTAATACAAGATTAGCCCTCCTCCTTTAGTGAGCTTATCGTTCCGGATCAGCGACATGCCCAGTAGTATAACTTCAGCGTCCGTCATTCCCGTGTGCAACCACGTCTCGGTGATACGTATGCTATCATATGACCCGGAAGCGTGCCGATTTTCCAGTTCGGCCAGTTTACTAAAAAGACCCTGAGGATTCGTATACAAGCAGGCCAGTTTCTCAGGCTCTAGGACCCCACAAAGGGGTGAAAGGGTCAAGTGTGGGATAATGCCGACCGATGGGAGGTCGGCGGTTACTCGTTTTTTGTTGGGGTAATGATATCTCGTCCGGAACTTGATTTGGTCAAGATTCGTCCCAATATTCGTTTAGACCTACGTCAGAGTCAATTAAAGCAGCAGTCAAGCTATGCTTCTGCACATTCGTCGATACGCTTGTTACTTCAGTTGCTTTAATATTTAAACTATGCAAAGCTTCTGTGACCTTTAATCGCAGTTCAGAAAGAAGACATTTCTGATTTCTCCGTCATCGATCCAAAATATCCGTTGGTTGTTGCTCTGACTAAACCACAAGTATTCGTCTGTATGGTGAGTGCGGTGTAACGCTGAACAAACTGCTCGACAATACAAACCTATCCACACTGCGAAGCAGCCCATCAACAAACGGTACTTTTGTAGGCTGGTGAGAAAATTTGAGAAAACTAGGAGCGTTTACAACGCCGAAAAGACAGGGCGGCCTCGCATCACCACAGATAACTTTTCTGCTTGTGTGGTTATTTGTGAGGTATCCAGAAGCTGCGATCTGAGCATCCGTAAACTCGCCCAGCATTGCGACATCGGCAGAGATGCCGTCCATAGGATTTTGAAAGAAAGGAAATTCCGGAAGTATAGCGCCCGTCAAGTGCAGGTGTTAAACTCATGTGATTCGGAGAAGCGGCTTGATGTTTGCCGCAGGTTTTTGAATCCCATGAACACCCATACAATTCTTTTTACCGATAAGGCTGTTTTCCATTTGCACAGTGCGGAGAAGTAATAATTTTGGGTGACGCGTAATTCACGACGATGTAACGCTCCACGTACACAACATGGCGCAAAGCTCATGGTATGGGCTGGGTCAAATGACCAAAGAATCGTGAGACCATTTTCTTTTCCGGTAACGTGACCGGTAGGTTGTTGTTTTGCAGCCTTGCGCTTTTTAGCATTCTCGTACAAGGAATTAATGCAAACTTGGGCCAGTCCGTAACTAGAAGCCATTGGGTTATTAAGTACCATTTGGTTGCAACAAGATGGCGCGCCTGCGCATTATGCACAAACGGTGCTGGATTTCCTTAAGCAGACGTTCCCTTGCCGTTGGATCGGGAGGGGAGGACCTATAGAGTGGCCTGCTACGTCACCAGATTTGAACCCATTGAGTTTCCTCCTCCTGGGTTATTCGAAACAGCGAGTTTACAAAACGAAGTCGAACTCTCTTGAGGAATTGAAACAGAGCATTTTGCACGAATATCGCGGAAGCACAGTTGGTGCTTTAGAAGAAGTGCCAGCAAACACCATCAGGCGAATGCTGCACTGTAAGCGAAACACCGGCGGACGCTTCGAACAGCAACTTTGCTGTCAAAGCTGAGCATTACATTGATAATCTGTAAGCATAAGTATAATGTAATGATTTATCGACTAAATTCGTGCGCTGGCTAATGCTCTTTTTTTAGGAACGTCAGTTGATGGTTTCTCCTGAGGTTTTGTGTGCGTGTGTCGTGTTATAGATAGCTCGGGATATCCGTTCTCCCGTAGGTCGCCCCCAACTTGAAACCTTGTCCCTAGTGTTCAGTTTCTCTATTCCACCAAATCCGTGTGATAGAATAGCAGTCGAGACTCAGTTTACACATTTGGACGGACATCTGCCCAGTTGAGCACCATGAGGAGACAAGCGGTTGCTTTAACACTACAAGGGTAGACATTGCCAAACAGTCCTGCGCTAGTGACATCGAGAAGTGACGTACCCTGACGAAGGATCATTGCGTCCTTAACCCAATAGCTATGCAATGAAAAGGTTGTAATACTGAGACAGGGATCAGGTGTCGTCATAACGGAAAAACAGCGCTACATCCAGAAAATGCAAAAATTTCTCGCAGGATCTAGTATATTGGTTCGTGATGTGACAGGCAGTGATAAAAGCGAACAGGTTATGAAATCAAAAGTTCGTGAACTAATTACCCTAACAACGGTGGGATGGAATCACGCAAAAACGTTGACACAGCCGAGTACTCGAGAATCTAGGCTTCCTTATTTGTAAGGACTTCCGAAAACGCCCAAGGAAGGCATCCCCATACCACCAATTGTTTCAATGATAAGCGCACCGTATCAGAAGTTGGTCAGATGTTTGACAATGTAATCGAGCCTATTCTAAGGGAACTATTCGAATATAGCGTTAAAGACACGTTTGTTGATAGAATACGGAATTTAAAGGTGGGTGGGAAACATGGTCTCCTTCGATGTATGCACTTTGTTCATATCATTGTGGGACATCAGGAAAGTACCAGGTTTCCTACAGGCGCTCATTGAAGCAAGAAACAGGGATGCCGATGGACCTATATTCTCAAACTGCTTGTAGATGTCCGAATGCTTTGCTTGTTAGTAACCCACCACCACTTGGGTTTAGGCACATAGGGCAGTCGAGTATTTAGTGGGCACTCTAGCTAGTGGTAGCTTTAGGTCATTAGTAACCATGTTACGTGGGAGTTGCTCTGCAATCCTAAGAAAAAATGTATCATTACGCAACTGTATAAAGGGGAACAAGTTGAAGGATGTTCGTACCGGCTCTACCAATGTAGTTACAAGTGCCATTACGCAGTTTAGAAAGTGTTATTGCATTAAGTTGGAAGGTTGCTGTGCAAATCTAAGCTGGACAGATCGGACTCTCAAGTTACCGCTTTATGTAGCCATCCATGTAACTGGGTTTGGGCCAAACTGAGAGAATGCAGTCTACAAGGATTGCATAGTAAATCCCGCGTAACAGTTGCAAATGATCTAAAGCTATCCACCAGCTAGATCGCTCAGCAAATTTGCGATTTCTCTCTTTACCGAAACCCAAGTGGAAGGTGTAGGTTACTAACAAACAAAGCAAGCCCTGCCTACATCAGTTCGCTGACGTTTCAGTGGTTGAAACCAAGTCTGGACAAAAATACGGATTTCGCAACCATACACATACACACACACACACAAACACACACACACAAACACTGTCTTTAATATATGCAGCCTATTTTTTCCACAAATTGTATATACACAACTGAAGTGAATACTCAAAATCGCTGAATTCAGTTTACCTAGTCAAAATGTTTGTTGTAGCTATATCAAAAGTTGAGGTAAAAACTTCATTCTTCCACGAACGCCAGTGTAACCAGGCGCATCCCACCACTCCAGCATAGAAACCACACGGAGTGTTCGAAACGTTGACACCGTTAAATACCAAACGTGGAACCGCAGGTGAACAATTGTTCACGGTGATTCCTCCTCAGACTTTTCATTCATTTACCTTAAAAGTATATTATCTGCTTGGTCTACCGTAGTCTCACTGTTAGTCCTAATTATATCCGTACGTTACCAGTCAAATTGTTAATCCCGCTTGATATATCAACCTGTCTTGCAGAGACACAGCAACAGTAGTGGGTCTTATTTCTCCCGCTAAACCGGTTTCTACCATGACCGATACTGTCTAATAATCCGACATACCCGGTATGTATGTTTCTTAGGATTTGTGAAAGGTAAGCCACAACAGTTGGTAGCGAATCGATAAAGCCCCATCCATTAAATGAGGAGTGGAGAAGTCATAGTTTGTCGACTTGCAACCGACGTTAAGCACGGAATGAAAACGATGGAGCCGATAAACAAGCGAAGTGACCCACCTTTCTGGACTTGTAGTTGAGCAAATTACCGGATTGTTCAACAAGAAGTCGACGAATCGGAACAAGGGTATGACAACTCTGAAAATGTTATTCGAAACGAAACAAAACGCACCGGTCGTCGTGGGAAAATGCGTAAAAAACTTGTTCTGTAACTGACATGAAATCATCCAACAACGGCTGATCGGCTTCGTGGGAGATAAGATAGTTCGTGAGCGCTTCCGTACTGGATAACACCTAAAGAGCACAATCACGATTATGACAAAAGATAGGTGGGTGTGTTAAGAGCGAAAGTAAACGGAATGGCAGAAAAAGAACATAAATAAGTAAGCACAAAAACGAACGAGGAGAGGCCTACGAAACTGAAATCTTCAGTCAGAAACGATAAATTTGGCAAAAATTATGGTGCGAGTGTATGGCGAAGCAACAAAATCGGACTTAAATTTTTGGAATCCAGGAGAAAATGTCGAGAATACTAAAAGGATGGATAGATGTCAAAGAAAATAACTAATACAAACCGAAAACGATGACAACATTGATGAACAGGGAAAACCGGCAAGCAACGTGTAAAGAAGCAAATTCGAAAAAGAAAAAGTTGCATCAAGTAGAGGGCAGCACTGCGATCGCAACTTTCTATACGAAAAATATGAATCAGTCGAATGAAGGGCTTTGCACTATCGGATGAGAATAGCACCCGAGATAACAAAAACGTTGGAAGAGCGATACATACGAAAAACAAAAAGAAGAAAGTTAGCGCATCAATCAGCTGTAAAAAGTAATACAACATTGCATTAACGATAATAACAGATAAATAAACCGTCAGCTGTATGCCGTAACGGCGCTTCGCTGCTGCGCGACCGCGCCTGGGTTGAGTATACCGCCAGGACGCCCGCCCCTCGCTGACGCGAACCGGTGACCTTATGACTGCAAGCCAGGTGTGCAGACTACCCGGCCAAAGGCCGAATTGAAAAAGATTCGCCACAGCTAGAGGAGAACGATGTCGCCAGATAAGAAATCCGGAAGACCAAGTGCAAGTTGATGATAACTCACAGTGTCTTCTGTCAGTCCACCGATGCTGACCGCCAAACCCAGAATCAGATGGAAACGGAAGTCGCGCAAATCGAGCAATTGAATAAATTTCGGAAAGGTTTGTCTGGCAGAACGCCAAACGATCAGATCGCAATCCTCCCTGCGAAATAGAAAGAAAAAAGACAGATGGATGGCGAGTAGGATGAAGAGAACTACGAATTTTCAGGATGAGGACAAATCCGTCTCATTCCGGATTGGTGCGTTAAAATTGGTTTACCGAAGGTTCAGCAATTGAGTGCCTGGAAACAAAATAGTGCGAGCGGACAGAGTACATGAGCAACCTCGTCTTCCCTTAGTGAGATTCTTTCATTTAAAGAAAATGACCTTGAACCTTATCTCCAACTAACACGCCACAAGACTACTCCATGAATTGTAAATAAACATCATCAGCATCATGAATAATAACAACAGCAGTACATCAGCCATTTGAACGGATGCTTCGCTGCCATACAACCATGATGACGTTTGGAATAAAGAATAATAAGAGGGAGAGAAGGGGACTTACTTGGAAACCTTAATGCCCTAAGCAAACATTCAGGGTCTAGGCGCCATCACCTTGTGTCGACAACATACGGCCACAAACAGCTAGCTATCGTGAAAACATAAGGCAACATCGGCGAGAGAGTGTCTTTGTGGCTTTCATTGCCCCGCGTCATAGGAGGCAATTACCTAGCAAATAACACAGCATCAAACACACTTTAAACAGGCAAGCCAAATAGGGTCGGCAGCAGACGAGTCAATGGTGTCGGTTGCGAGCCATGTCCTGTAAATTCTAGAGCCAAGAACAAAGTGAGTTATGTGAACTTCAGGCCAGAAGGCTAGACGGATTAACGGCACTGAGTTTGGTCGACAGTGACTTCATTTCCCGCTACTAAGTCAAATTCTGTCCACCTCGAGTCTTGCGCCACCCTACACCTGGCAAAGTTAACAAGGCGCTCCTAGGAAAACGGTGACCAGGCATACGTAGCACGTGCCCAAGCCAACGCAACTTATTCAGTGCTCTGTTGTTCTAAGGAAATAGCCGGGTTATCACTGTCTAGTACTCGACTATGCACATCATCGTTGCAAACGCGCTGGGGCCATCCGACACCAGCAATGCTTCGTAGACAACGATGATCAAAGACCTGAAGGCGCCTCAGATCTTCAGACCGAAGGGGCCAAGTTCCATTGCCATACAGCAGGACGGTGCACAATGTGACCTTGTATACATAACATTTCAGACGGAGAAAAACCCTTTTGTCGCCAAAGATACCGCAGGTTCAAGAAGACAGTTCCAGCAATTGCAAAGGGTGAACTGACTTCATTTGCTATGTACCCGTCGTCGCGGATAACGCTGCCAAGGTAAGTGAACTGATAAACCACCTCGAGTTCCTCGTTAAAAAGGGTCAAGGGGTCAGAAAGTGCCTGGTGATCCTGCAGATACACTTTGTATTTTGAAGGTGCGCAGCGCATAAAAAAGGATGGGACCACTCTAGACAGGGTATTCAGGGTTGATTGTGCCACCCCAGCTTCGTTCAACAGCGACACGATATCGTCCGCATAATCATGATCAACTAACCTTTCACCAGGCAACATCTCAACGTCTACATCGTGAGATTTTGCAAGGGAACACTCCATGACAGAGTCCACGACGAAATTCAACAAAAACGAGGAAATCAGGCCACTTGTGATCGGAAAGCTATCCGACAGGTCACCGTAGACCCTGATTCGACCTGTTATGTTCGAGTATAGAGCACGAAGGATGTTCACATATTTCGTGGGAACAAATTACCGCCCAAGTATATCGAATAGAATCGATCGATCGACTGAATCGAACGCAATCTTGAAATCGAGGAACACAGCTACTGTCGGTCTGCGATATGCGTGGCGCTGCTCTAGCACCTGCCGCAGAGTGGATATATGGTCTATACAAACACGTCCTGGGGGGAAACCTACTTGACCTTCCGTACTCCGTGATTCCCATTCCACAATGAGGCGACGAACGAGAATCGAGGTCAATAATTTTGTCACACATGGCGTTAGGCTAATACCCCTGTGGTTAGAACAGTCTGTGCGACGGCCCTCCTTGTATATCGCCACTAAAATCGATTCGCTCCAATTGGCCGGGATACTCTCTTCCTTCCAGATACCTTCTAATAAGGAGGTCAGTGATTTGCAGAGGACCTCACCTCCATCCTTAAATTGTGCGGATGGAAGGGAATCCGGGCCAGCGGCACGAAAACGATTAAGGACTGTGATCGCGTTTCGGACCTCGGCCTCCGACGGAGGCTCTGAACTAATCGTCCATGGCTCGTCCTGCATCACCTGAGTACGAAGAGGTCCGGGAGCAGGGGGCCAACTGAACTGATCATGAAAGTGTTCTGCCCAACAAGCCATACAGCGCTCCTTACTGTGTACCAGTGCACCCGCTGACGCCTGATTTTCTGGGACCAGTGGTGCGGATCAGCCGGAAGAGCTTGTGGTAATTGCTTACTGCCCCTGCCTCCATGTCTTGAACCCTACCGGTCCACTAGGCTTCATTGTCAGCACGCAGTCTCCGCTTTAGTTCGTGTCTAATAATCCGTCTGGTAACAATAGGCTCAGAGTCAGACAGAAGATTTCTTCTGGATTCCAACAGGTTCACCGACCTCTCGGATATCCAGTGACTGGTGCGGTGACGACTGTTAACGCCACAAGCAAATGCTCCTGCGTTGTGCATGGCGGCCGAGATTCTATTCCACTGAAGCTCAGTGTCATTGGAACAAGACAGCGAAAGTTCGGTATGCAGTGCGTCTTGATAGGCTTGCCTGACCGATGGCTGAGACAATTTCTCAGTTGCTTGGTGTCTCCCGGTAAAGTTCATGGAGAAAAGACAGCATACTAAAGCACGATCAGATATTCCAGTAAAAGCAGCAATCCAGGATGGAACCACGCCATTTTTAACTTAGTGCAAAATGATCAATTTGGGTCCATCGCTGGCCAGCTACAGGAGGACGCCAAGTAGCAGTTCGGCGCCCGCTGTGTCTAAAAGCAGTGCTACTAAGAAACAACTGCTGCTCCACACACAGTTTCAGCAGACGCTCGCAGTTGTCAGTCCGTTCGGAGTTAAGTCAATGCTTACTACCCAGCTAAACTTCTGAAGAGCTCAGACGCGCTACTTGTGCGTTTCCACCCCCTGCAAGTACTATAATAGTAACCGAGGTCGGGATGGGAGTAAGTGAAACATGTGGAAAAGAAAGGAGGCGCCAGCAGTAGCATGTCTTCACTTATCCGCCCTGCTGTATACAGCAGGTAAGGCGACCCTTGATAATCTGCGCGACGGCCGATGCAGGATGAAGCTTATGTTTGAAGAAAAAGTCATGGTTGTATGTGGGCTGAAATACTGCCAGGGCACCCAGACCTATACAGGAGGACGATTAGGGATTTCATCTAAAGCCTTTGGCTCAAAAGCCTGTCCGCAAGGCAGCGGGGAGTTGGCAGTGATTTAGTTTTACATAAATGGACGCCATCCTATTTCAAACCGCCAACCTGGATGACCAGGAGACTGTGTTTGTCTGACTTCTCAACATTGACCAACCTGGTAGGAGTAGCTCTCAAGGAGCGCAGAGGCACCACCCGGTATAGCTCAATGGGTCAAGGAGGTACGCAAACAGTCGCACCACCTCAGGGTTCAGTTTCGTTGCGAAGTACGTAAACAGATGAGGAGAATACCCGAAGTAAATGAATTCAGAGTATCCCGTGGAAGTGTTGTTACTTCTTGCTATCTTGGAATATGTCAAGGGAAATTTCTACATGAAAAGTCGTATAGCAAAATAATCCTCATGCTTGGCAATCCTAGTTTGAAAGACGATTTCGATCGGTAGCAGAGTATATGATGCGCAAGAAACAGTTCAGTTCAGTTGTTTGACCAAGAACAGGGCGATGAGTCGCATAGATAGGAAGTAAATTACGAGCCAGATGAAAAAATACGAGAATCAAAGTGCACGCTAAAACAAGGTAAATAGTACGTAAAGTATGATCACAGGAGGGAAATCAAGGACAAGTTACAGAGTACAGAAGAGGCTTGTCGGAATCCAGCCATAAGAATGATGAGCGAGGTAGCTAAACATTGATGTGGCGGAAACCGACGAATAATCCACGGAGACATCACTAAGCAAGCAACAGAAATACAAGCAAAGGGTACGAAAGTGTAGAAACTACTCACTTGCAAAACACACGTTTTAGAGTGTCCTCCATTGGGACGTGAGGAATAGGTGGGCTAAAAAAGACAATACAGTAGTCAAAGCTGGGGTAAAACAAACTGACAAAGCACTGTTCATATATATATATATATATATAGGTGCCTCATGTTAAGTTGATGTTGCCTACGCCATGATTCTTCACCACAACGACTAGCAAATAAACTAGATTTTCTGAATGTGGATACAAAACATGGTGAGAGTGCACTCCCACCGAGGCTTCTCTACGCTACTCTACGCTATTGCACGCCACTCCACTACGCACTGATGATGTCACCTCGACTGGTAACGAAACGTTTGCAACAAAATTGCCAAGCTCAGCGAACAGTTCAACAGCCACATGACACTTTATTTGACTTTCTCAGTTTTGTTATTCAGCTGCATATTACGTGTCAATTTTGCGTGTTTGCTTTCCATTAAATTCTGTTGGTTGTTTGATATCCCCGGTGTTGCTGCACTTGATGTGAATGATGACCTTTCTAACACCCTCCATCTGGAGTACTGGTTCCAGGAAACAGTGAATCGTTGCTGGCGGGATGGGGTGCAAGGTCCACGCGTCCGTGCTAAGCTGAATAATTGGTTCCATCTGGTGTGGAGCAGACTGCGATCCAGCCACCGCTTTATGTACGTCTGGTACGCTATTGCTGTGCATGTTGAAGCAGTGTGGGCCGGCTCCGGTGATGAAACGTGGCTCCTATCCACATGCATTCCGGGCTTATTCCTTCGGGTTTACACTGGATATGGCGTGTGTGGGTGGAGGTGTGGGTGGTGGAGCGCAAGCCAATAATGGACCCTCTGTAGCTGTAGGTGCGCTGTGGCTGTCCTATGTAAGCCGAAATGACAGGCAAATCCGTAGCCGGATGCCGCCAACCACACTTTACCAACTGTAATTCAATTGACCGAGTGCCACAACACATAAGAGAAATAACAGTAGATTAAAGGGAAAAACAACGGTTAGAGAAACAGACTAGCAGCAAGTGCGTCAATGTGTACGGTTTCTGGCCATACCCAGTAGCGTTTGCAACCAGAAGTGCTAGCGATCCTTGAGTCACCAACCCGGGAGTCCATAGCACCAAACATCCGCCAACTTCGACGTAGGCGCCCTAAAGATCCAGGTTTTCCACTGGCCTCTTTGTCATCGCTTCCAGCCTACACCTGAGTTCGCAAAGTGTTACTGTTACCGGTAGCTCAGCTGGCTTGCACTTGTTGCATTTTATTCCCTTTTTCTTTTAAGTATTGCGGCACAGTAGCTGAGATGTTTCCCACCTAGAGCTAACGTGTATAGTGTGTGCGACGTGGGCAAGTCGTGGTAATCGCTGGACAAGCATATGGATTCCGTGCAAAAGCCAGTGAAGGCTACGCGGTGAAATAATGCTGTCAAGCAGTCGGCGGAGTCTGTGATATTTGAAGACTCGCCGACGAACCTCCCATTATTGAGGTGATGATGCTATCGAACATCAGCAATGCTCCGACGGTAGCCTCTGAACATCATTCTTGTGAATAGGTCAAGTCTCGCAGTCATAAAGCAGGACCGATCGCATCGCTGTATTGTGAACTCGTCCCTTGAGAGCGAAGTGGAGGTCACGAAGATGACCCAAGTGATGGAAGTGAGCAAAAACTACACTAGCCTTGGAGAGGCACATGAAAATCTCATCCATCAAACCGCCAAATACTAAGACAACTCCACAGGTAAGTGGATGCCTCTGTAAGATGAGAGCAACACGAACTCGACCAGTCCTCTAACATGAGCTTACACTTGGAAGGGGCATATGTTAACCCAAATCGTGAGGCGGACATCTCCAGTCTAAGCAGTACACCCTGGGCGACCTGGGAGGAATCACAAATAATAACGATGGCATCTGCGTACTCCAAGTCCTGAAGGAGGTCACGCTGGATAGCAGTCTCCAGGATCTCGTCCATAGCGAAGTAGAGCAGACAGGACGGACAATGCCGATCGCCTCCTTCAGCTGTGCGCCGATCACAGTTTGTTAATTTCGGGAACCAATTTCCGGCGTTCCTAGTGTCAATGCGCCACCTGGCGATATCCAGCGCCTGGGCAAGCGTGGAGGTAGATGGACCACATTGCTATCAATTACTGTGGGGCAGGCTGCGTAACAGAAAGTCAAATTGCAGCACTCAGTTAACCTCGGATTAGGTGCTCATGTGCACTTTTACGGCTCCCAAAAACGTCGCCGGAAACCGCTTAAGACACACAAGCTAGTTGCTTCAAATATTCTTGGCGCGTTTCAGAACGCATAAGCCTCCAAACTGTGTCCTGATTCCTCCGAAGTCGAGAAACACTGAGCAGAGATTCAGAGCGTAAAGGCAAAAGTCTATTACGCTGGTCTGTGACTTCACTGGGCGGGCTGTTAACCATTGGATCATCGTAATTTCGCCAACTAATGTAAACACGTATAGCGATTCCTGCTAGTCATCATGATCATTATACATGTTAGCTAGAGTTGGAAAACACCTCAGCTATTGTGCAGCAATATATAGAAGAAAAAAGGAGAGAAAAGATGCAACTGGTGCAAGCCGGTTGAGCTACCAGTAACGGAGGGGCATCGTTCCGGTAAGCTAACAGCCGGCTGCTGTGCACCAAAAAATTACTGTGCATAATTATATGAGGTTATAATATAGTGAGATCGTGCTTGGATGGGAGGCTAAAAGAGATGGGGTGGGACAAAGAAACTCACAGCACGAACGCCCCTGAGGTCGGCTCCTTGCCATATCAGCAAGTGTATCCAGTCAAAAGTGTTCATCGTCTTTCGGACCCCAACCAGGGAGCCGAGACACTCCAACCGAGGCCAGCCCAGAAGTGAGGGCCTTCATTCCTCTCGACCGGGTCATCGCTTGGCCACCCTTCCTCTTCTTCCATCCACAACCCCGGCGCGCAAACAACACACGTCGCGCGAGTCGGTGGCCTGACATGCGTAACACGTGGCCGAGCCATAGGAGGCTGGTGCGTGAAATAACGGTGCTGAGTGGTCCATTCCCTTTTCCTGTGCCATAAACAAGGCGTCGAACACGCTCGTTGCTCACGCGGTGTTCCCACCAGATGTGAGCTAAATTACGAAGGCACCGGTGGTCGAACGTAACTAGCCTCTTCAGGTCCGCTGCTTTAAGTGGCCAAGTTTCACAACCGTACAGTAGGGTCGAACGTACCGTTGCATTGTACACTCTACCCTTCAGCGAGACAGTGATGTTGCGCGGCGCCATAAGTGGAGAAGATTAGCAAAAGCGCCTCGAGCTTTTGCTATACGACTCGTGATCTCATCTTCAATCCCACGGGCGCTGATACAACTTCGCAGATAGTTGAACTTTTGAACGACTTCTAGCTGATCCCCACCAGGGGTCAGCGTAGGAGACGGTCCAGACCAATCTTGGAGGAACGATTTGCACTTCGAGGGTGCGAAGCAAAGCCCGAAGTGACGGACAGCCAGTGCTAACTTGTCCAGTGCCATTTGGCATGTTTGTGAGCTGTCACAGATTAGGGCAATATCATCAGCATCAAGAAGTCGTTCTCCTGGGAGTAGCTCCACACCTTCTAAGTCGTGTCCTTTAAACGCGATTTCCATGACTTCATCAATAACGAAGTTGAAGAGGAAAGGTGACAGCGGCCATCATTGTCCCACACAGCTGGAGATATTAAAGGACAACGGCAACTTGCCGTAAGCCCTCATTCTGCCTGAGCCACGCGCATTTAATGCTCGGATAATATTTACATATTTCAAGGGTAAACCTTTTCTGAGTATACAGTCCCAAAGCGCACGTCTATCCACCGAATCGAATGTACCTTTGATATCGAGGAACACGACAACGGTGGGTCGCCAATATGTGTGACGGTGCTCCAACAATTGAAGGAAAGCTAAGATATGGTCAATGCAGCCACAATCTCGACGAAATCCGGTCAGTCTGTGAAGGATGACAGAGGCAAGCTATTTGGAGGCGATGGAGATCAGACTGATTCCTCTATGGCTGTCGCATTCCGATCGTGACCCTTCCTTGGAAATTGTGACTATGACGGAGCGGCTCCAGTCGGTTGGGACAGCCTCATGCTCACACAGTTTGACTAGTAACTCCTGTAAATCATCCACAAGAGCAGGTCCCCCGAATTTGAAGAGGAGGAAAATCACCTGGTCCCGCAGCTTTATTCAACTTCAACATTTCGATCTCATGTTCGACTTCTGAGCGACAGGGCGAATCCAAAGGGGCAGCCCAGGAAGCAGGACGATCACTTGCCGGCGAAAAACCTGACAATTCCGACCGATTAAATTGCCTTTCACAGTGCTCAGCCCAACTGTCCAACCTTTTTGACAAGTTGTGGTTAAACTGTACCCTCTTGTCACGTATGGTTTCACTAACACCAGGTCTCCTGCTGCCCATTTCTCGTATCAGCCGGAATAACACGATGGTTACCATAGGCAGCGGGCATTTCAATCTCTGATGCACGATGAGACCACCAGGATTCGCCGTCTCTCTTCAGGCTAGCACAGAGTTTTGCCCAGAGCTCTTTGCGAGTTTCATTGTGTTCGCTTCCAGCCGGAATATGCCGGCGACCATCCATAACTTCCAGTGACCGCGAAGAGACCCAATGTCCATGTTGACGATTAGACTTACTACATGAGGATTTTCCTGCCGCTAGTAAGGTCTAGTGAATATGAGACCAGTGAGCTTCAATTATATCCAGTTACCGTTTATCCAACTCGCATTACAGCGTACTTTGATAGGCATTCAGAACAGCTGGCTTCGCTAGTTGGCTGCTGTCAATGCGCTCACAACGTCGTCCTGAGCGTCCGCCAAAATGCATCCGCAGGTCAGCACATACAAGTGCATGGTCGGTGTCTACATATGTGCTTCAAATCGAACGACAGTCCTGGACACAGCTTCTCCAGCGGTAACTTATCGCAATGTGATCGATTTGCGTCAATAGCTGGTACGAGGCTGGTGGGCGCCAAGTCACCCTCCGACGGATGCTGTGCCTGAAATTAGTACTCGCAAGAAATAAGCGAGCATCCTC